GCTATACAAATACAGACCATTTACCATTTTCCCGTGTTGAAGTTGTGTGTCTTATTTTGAAAGAAACGTTTACGCGTTACCATAGTAACAGAGAGGGGGATGTTCCTCTCACTGTTGTTCAGGGGGACGCTGCTAATAAAGTTACACAATTACACAGTGAATTTGCTTTTATTGTTATTTTTACAAAACGCCACAGTTTGTCTCAGTTGTGTCGTTTTATTTTGTTGTGTTTATCCGCCACACCTTAAAGGCCGGTCCGTGGAAATATGGTCTGACATTAAACTGGTCCGTGGCGCACAAAAGGGAGCGCTTCTCCAGATAATGTACCCAGCACCACTCTAACACCAACAGCCTGAACTATTGACACAAAGCCGGATGAAGCGGTTGTTGCTGCAGAATATGAGACTCATTGAAGCATTCCTTTTATTATCCAAACTGTAGCCTCAGTTTCCTGTTGTAAGCAGGAGGGTGACGGTGTGGTATCTGCTGCTGCGCTGTGCACTCAGAGATGCTCGTTTTATACACTGCCTGTAATAAGTGGTTATTTTTTGGCATTTGCCTTTATTTGGTTACAATAATGGAGCTAGACAGGAAAGCAGAGAAAGACGGGCAGACATGCATGAAAGGGCCGTACGATCGCTGCTGGCACCAGTTACCCACTGAGGTAACTGGTGCCATATCTGAGTTCCTGTTGGCTTCCTATCAGCTTGAAGCTATTTTTGTTTCACCGAGTTTCTCTTTTTTTGAATCATTCTTTCTAAACCTGAGAGATGATTGTGTGAAAGCAGGTCAGCAGTTTCTGAAGCACCACTAAGTCTGGTTCAAAACCCATGCCTCATTCAGAGTCACTTAAATCACTTCCTCATTCCTGTGCTCTCAGCAGGTCATCTTCACTGTACCTACAACTACAACGACTTGCTGCCACGTGATTGGCTGATTAGATTTTTGCATTGCGAGCAGGTGAACAGGTGTATCTAATAAAGTGGTTGGTGAGCATATATCTTGACGTGATTCATCCTTTGCAAAGCTGAGAGTATATTTGTTTCATCTTGTTTATCTCTGTGAAAGACAAATGCTGTGAAGTGTTAATTCGTTTATACACTACGCTGCTTTCTGTAGCACGAACAAAGAAGTTAAAGAGGTAGAAAGAAAGTTGCACCACGATCTGAAACCGCAGGTTTGCCATTTTGACTGTGACCATTTCACAGTTTCTGAAGCTAAACGTGAAGAGACATGGATCGTAGACTGGACCTGGTGAGTGATACGTATCATTTTGAAACATCTTTGAGGTGTAACTCCTACTGACCGATCCATCAGCACGACTCAGACTGAATCTGGATGCTTTGCTCATTAAACAGGCGTGAAAGTATCACGGCGTTCAGTCCAAAGACAAATGACCACATTCAGAAGCTGAATGACCCATCAAGACAACGATAATGATGTGATGTCACTGTCCTCTGTAACGCCCACACAGACAACCTCGTCTCGTCACAAACCTGCTCCTGTTCACTCTAAAATGTCTCATCTATGAGGACGCCTCATCCTGCACTCTTAGCTACAGGAGCAAACACAAGAGTCTTCATCCACTCTCAGGAGCCTCTGAGCAATAAAAGGACTTTCTGATGATGATGTCGCCACGACAACAGAAAACCTGTTGTGTTGTAACATGGATGTAATGTGTGAGC